ATCATTAATTTAAAATCTGATCAATAATATGAGTCAAATTCATAATTAAAAGTAATTTTAAATAGCACTTAAAAATTAAAAACAGGGATTAAAAATCGCAATAAAAACAAATTCTTAATAATAAAGAATTTAAAATGTAATTAATAATATAACTGAAATTGAAAATAATTTAAAATAATACTAAAAATTTCAATTAAAAATTATTTTAAATAATTTTAAAGATAAATTAATAAGAAATTAATAATTTAAAATATAAGTAACAATATAACGAAAATTCACTATTAAAAGTAATTTAAACCAGTAATTAAAGAATCAAAAATAAGGATTAAAAATCGAAATAAAAAATAAATTATTAATAAATGATTAATTTAAAATGTAATCAATAATTGGAGTAAAATTCATCATTAAAACCAATTTAAAATAATAATTTAAAATCTCAATTAAAAATAAGGATTGAAAATCGTAATAAAAAAATTAATAATCGATGATTAATTGAAAATATAAGCAGTAAGAATAATTAAAATTCATAATTAAGGACAATTCAATATCAATAAAACCAATAAAATAAAATATAAATTCATACAACTCAATAGAAATAAAATAAATAGAATAAAATACGACTATAAATAAATAAAATTCAATATAAATGAAACAAATAAAATGAAATATAAATCCATAAAATTCGATATAAATAAAATTAATAAAATATAAATAAATGAAATTCAATTTAAATAAAACAATTTTTAAAAATATAAATCCATAAAATTCAATATAAATAAATAAAATAAAATAAAATCTTGCTACAAATAAATAAATTTCAATATAAATGCAACAAATGGAATAAAACATAAATCCACAAAATTCAATATAAATAAAAGAAAATAAATCAAAATGCAACTATAAATAAATAAAATTCAATATACATAAAATAAAATAAAATAAAATACAGCTATAAACAAATAAAATTCAATATCGATAAAATAAATAAAATAAAATAGGACTTTAAATAAAATAAAATTAAAAATAAATAAAACTAACTAATAAAACGTGATAAAAAAATTCAATATAAATAAAACAAATAAAATATAATTCCATAAAATTCCATATAAATTAAATTAGATTAAAATAAAATAAAATGAAATGAAATAAAATAAAATGAAATAAAATAAAATACAACCATAAATAAATAAAATTCAATATAAAGAAATTAAATTAATAAACCCCGATTAAAATAAAATAAAATTAAATCAAATTAAAAATCACGAAGCTCCTGGGGACGAAAAGTCCCCGAACGGGGCCGAAATGACCCAAATCGGCCCCTTTTCCGCCCATTTTCTGGGCCGGGCCCCGCCCCCTTTTGGGGGCCGACCCCGCCCCTTTTGGGACTTCCCCAAAACCACCCGAGAGCCCCCAAAAGGCCCTTTTTTGGCCCAGAACGGTTTCGCTCTCGGGGCTCTGGCGGCAGCTGCTGCTTTCGGGGCCCCTCCCCCTCCCCCTCGGGGCTTTTGGGGCCAAAAGTCGAGATTTCGGGCAAAAAGAAGAAGTGGAAGGTGGAGATTTTGTGAAGGAGCCGAGTTCGGGTCTTCGGTCCCGACCTGGGGCTGGTTCGGCCCCAATTCCCGACCTCTGACCCCAATTCCCGACCTCTGGCCCCAATTCCCGACCTCTGGCCCCAATTCCCGAC